GGTAATAATGATGGGGAATATGGGGGAAGTCTGAGGGGTAATAATGATGGGGAATATGGGGGGAGGTGTGAGGGGTAATAATGATGGGGAATATGAGGAAAGTCTGAGGGGCAATAATGATGGGGAATATGGGGGAGGTCTGAGGGGTAATAATGATGGGAATATGGGGGGATGTCTGAGGGGTAATAATGACAAAGAATATGAGGAAAATCTGAGGGGTAATAATGATAAGGAACATGAGGAAAGTCTGAGGGGTAATAATGATGGGGATATGGGGGAGGTCTGAGGGGTAAAAATGATGGGAATATGGGGGGGAGGTCTGAGGGGTAATAATGATGGGAATATGGGGGAAGTCTGAGGGGTAATAATGATGGGGGATATGGGGAAGTCTGAGGGGTAATAATGATGGGAATATGGGGGGGAGGTCTGAGGGGTATAATGACGGGGAATATGTGGGGAGGTGTGAGGGGTAAAAATGATGGGAATATGGGGGGAGGTGGGGGGTAATAATGACAGGGAATATGAGGAAAGTCTGAGGGGTAATAATGATGGGGATATGGGGGAGCTCTGAGGGGTAAAAATGATGGGAATATGGGGGGGAGGTCTGAGGGGTAATAATGATGGGAATATGGGGGAAGTCTGAGGGGTAATAATGATGGGGAATATGGTGGGAGGTGTGAGGGGTAAAAATGATGGGAATATGGGGGGGAGGTCTGAGGGGTAATAATGATGGGAATATGGGGGAAGTCTGAGGGGTAATAATGATGGGGATATGGGGGAGGTCTGAGGGGTAATAATGATGGGAATATGGGGGAAGTCTGAGGGGTAATAATGATGGGAATATGGGGGAGGTCTGAGGGGTAATAATGACAGGGAATATGGGGGAGGTCTGAGGGGTAATAATGATGGGGAATATGAGGAAAGTCTGAGGGGTAATAATGATGGGAATATGGGGGAGGTCTGAGGGGTAATAATGACAGGGAATATGGGGGAGGTCTGAGGGGTAATAATGATGGGAGTCTGAGGGGTAATAATGATGGGAATATGGGGGAGGTCTGAGGGGTAATAATGATGGGGAATATGAGGAAAGTCTGAGGGGTAATAATGATGGGGAATATGGGGGAGGTCTGAGGGACAGTAATGATGGGAATATGGGGGGCAGGTCTGAGAAGTAATAATGACAAAGAATATGAGGAAAATCTGAGGGGTAATAATGATAGGGAACATGAGGAAAGTTGAAGGGTAATAATGATGGGGGATATGGGGAAGTCTGAGGGGTAATAATGATGGGGAATATGGGGGGAGGTCTGAGGGGTAATAATGACAGGGAATATGGAAGTCTGAGGGGTAATAACGATGGGGAATATGGGGGGGAACTGAAGGGTAAGAATGCCAGGGAACGGGGGGAGGCTTAAGCAAGGCAGCCAAGAACCTTCTAGTTCCTCAGGGTTATAGAGACCACAGGAAAAATAACACGTGTTTGACAAGATAAAAGGGGAAGAAGCCTCAGAAGTGGGCTTCCCCTTGCTGCCCACCGGGGCACCTGAGCCTGGAAGGGGGAGCCCGTGTTGGGTAGGAGTGGAGAAATCACTGAGTGTGTCCTGAGCCATCCGGGGCCTTCCTGTGTCCTAACGCCTGACCTGCTCTCTGTGACCCCAGCCTAGCGATCAGGAGGATCTCAGGAGTGCTGCCTGGAGGATCTCGAGAGAGCAGGCAGCACTCCTGCTCCGTCTCGGAGATCTGCTGGTTTCTGATAGGCCACCAGCCCTGCCTGCCTCCCAACAAGGGTCGGCAGGTCATCGGATGCCCCTGTGGTCCAGGCCTGGCACCATGAAGTAGAGTCACGATGGGTCAGACATCTCAGGAGTGCACTCAAGAACCAGCACACATGCGCAAATGCCCTGTCCGATCTGCCCTAGGTGCCCCGGAGACCGCGTGGGTAGCTGACAGAAGGGGCAGGTGGCCGGTGTGACCTGCACAGTAGACCCACACAACTGTGCACACCACCAAGAACAGGACAGCCGCAGAGCCACACTGTATGGGCAGACACAGTCCATGCTGCGGCCCTGCAGGGAGAGCCATGAGGGTTCCTGTCCCCAGACAGATGGCGCAGCAGGGCACGCGCATCAGGGTCCTGTTGCCCCTGGCCTTGTCCTGGCCACGGCCTCCCACGTCCCTTCCATGAGGTCATGGTTCCGGGTCCCTGTGAGTGCACGGCCGCCCCCGGGGGCTCTGTGCTGGTTATTTT